TTAAAGAATGCAAGTTTTTTCTATAGAGGTGTGCCAGCATACATTTAACAACTGGTTCTTCAAAATAAAATGCACTTATGGCACACTTTTAACTTAAATCTGTAGTATTTCTATTTTCTTTATCACTTTCTTAAGTTCAGACAACAAGGCAAACAGCCTTCATTAAATCCTCTCATTTTATAGATGACAAACTGAAAATGAGGGGAAGGGGAGGCAATTTGCTCAAAGTCAGACAAGTAGCAGTTTCCATTTGATGTTTTAGAGGAAGAGATATCACCATTCTGTTGCTATTGTTAGTGGTAATTGTTGTTTTGGATGTGTGTGTTTAAACTCCCTCTTTGTATCTATAGCCTCTGGTTTAACTGGGCAAAAAGCTCTCATGTCAGTCAACTCACATTCCCCCTTCAAGAGCATTATTTGTTGTTACAAGGACATCTCCAAATAACAATTAGGTAAAATTTTCATCAAATGTAATGTTTAATGTCAATAAATTTACCTCGTCTTTGGGGTTCTGTACCTCCTTTGATCTGATAAATGTAGTGACAATGACCATCAGCAACAGAGAACATTTTTAATTTTAATAGACTGAATGGTAGCGAGCAGGTAGAGATTGCTCTGATTTACTTTATTTTCAACATTTTGTCATGAACTTCTACACGTCATAACTGAGGATCTTAATTAAAACCAATATGGAATGGGGCCACCAATCAAATGATATTGTCCTTAGCTTTTAGAAAGCTGAACCCAGGAAATCCCTGGTTTTCATTGTGGGGTTTTCACGTATTGAGAAGACTAAACTGGGCAACAACTCCTAGGTCATTCATTCATAATGTGGCCAATAGCTACCAGGGGCTGATGAACATACACAAATACATACCACTGATAGCCTTCCAACGATGTCAACTCCCATCAAAGCCTTTTGGAAATGATCTTAGAAATCCTAATGCCCAGCCCTCTAATTTTTACAGATTAGGAAAATGAGACCCAGAAACATGAAGAAATTATTTGTCCAAGGTTTTGTAACTAGTATGTTGACAGAGCCAAGATGTAAACCATTTCTCTGGCTCCAAATCCATCCCTTACCATACTTCCTCTGTTTAAATTAAGACAGTACATTTGTTTCAGGCAAAGATTAGATTGGACTTGAGGTCAAATGCTTCATGTAGGTATACACACAAGTAGTTATTGTGCCGAGTTACAAAGGACCTACCTGTCAAGGAGCAGCACAAGAATACACAGTAAGCATAGTTTCTCCTGGTCTTCCTATTCTTCTGTGAAGACTGGTGACCACAGTTGGTGGTGGCTTGAAGGGACCTATGCAGTGGTTTACTAGCACATATTTAACAATCAACTTTCCAAAAACAAATGTATACAAGACACCCTTTATGTTTAACCTGCATTATTAATCAACATTTTCTCATTCATTTTCTTAAGTTTGGACAATCTGCAAAACAGTAAACTAAGCCCTGATTTGTAATGTTTGCCAGTTTGTGAGATGTAAATGCTCACAATGAAAATTTAATAATAATTTCTGGATAGTCAGTTTGAGCTGACTCCAGCATACCCCTGGAACTAGGAATTCATCAGGTACAAGAAGCTAATAAGCCATCTATAGGGTGACCCATATATACTTCTTAAAAGGCCCCAGTTGCTCCTTATATCATTTCATTTGGGAGATTCCTTATTGGCTTAAGCTAGCTAATCTTGGTGGTATTATTGTTCAGTTATTCAGTTGTGTCTGACTCTTCATGACCCTGTGGACCACAGCACACCAATACAGTTCAGGGAGTTTTCTTGACAAAGATATTGGAGTGGATTGTCATTTCCTTTTCCAGTGGATTAAGGCAAACAGAGTAACTTGCCCAGGGTCACACAGCTAGTGAGTGTCTGAAGCTGGATTTGAACTCAGGTCTTCTTGACTCCAGGCCCAGTGCTCTATCTGCTGAGCCATCCAGCTGCCTCTTGACCCCTTCATACCCTAACTCAATTGCTGGCCTACCACAAATCCCAAAAGATCCAAGGAAGTATTTTGGAGACAAATACATAAAGTGTTTTACACAGTTGTGGTAAACATAAGAATCTTGTATCATTGAGAAATTATTTGAAACAAACATTTAAATAATTGTAGGAAAAGATTAGGAAAATAATTATTTAAAAGCTCTATCAATATCTATACACATGCCCCAGCAGAATGTAAGTGTCTTGAGAGTAAAGTCTTTATGATGGTGCAGGACATAGTAGGTACTTAATAAATGTTTTTGAATTAAATTGGGGATACAAGGTTATCAAATACTTATTTTTGTGAGATGTTATAATGGAAGATAATTCTACTGACTTTGATCTTTCATAACATATTCCTTGGTGCTTCATGTAAAATACTAGATTAGTGAAACCTTTGATCGAAATGCCCAGTGTTCAATAAATCATTGCGTACTATTTGTAGCATAGCATGGCAGAGTTTTTGCTTGTTTTAGCTTTGATCAAGTGACAGTACTTTGCTTTTATATTTTTGCCTCTTGAGGCAGCAAGGTGATGCTGTGGATAGAGTGCTGGACCTAGAGTCAGGAAAATCAGAGTTCAATTCCAATCTCAGACATAAGACCCTGAACAAGTTTCTTAACCTCTGTCTGCCTTAGTTTCCTCATCTGTAAAATGGGGATAATAATATCTACCTTCCACAGTTGTTGTGCTTAAAATACTATATAAATGCTATCTATTAATATCTCAAGGATCTCAAGTAATAATAAATTTCGTTTGGATCATGAATGCTCTCTCAGACTGGCTTTAGAGGTCTCCCCAAAGGAAAGACTGGCATTTCTCATGGTGAAAGTGAGAAGACGACCTCTCCACCTCCCCCCAATGTTTTAAATAAAAATTTTGTCTGTGAGCATTTGAATTTAAATTTGCACCACAAGTTCAGAGAATAGTTCTTGTTTTGGCATAATGTCTTGGCTGCCAAGATCTATAGATCTCAAGCAGAATGAGACTCAATAGCTCTTTAATCATGGTGACTCATTCTACACAGTTCCATAACTACCAAATGGCTGTGTGGTTACAGAAAAGACAGTAATGATACTATGGTACTTGAGAATGACCTTGAGGTTAAACAAGAGACTCAGAAAATGATGCTGCCTCAAATGAGGGGAACAGAAATGACATTTTTGCAACTGCATCCTGGCATTGTTATTGTCATTATTATCATTATCATTATTATAATTTTCATTATTTTTCCTATTGCTCTTATTACAAACAGGTTGACCAATCTCAAAATATTGATTTGGTATTTTTAATTATACTCAAACAAGCTGTAAAAATCAGAAATTGTGCTCAAGATCAACAGGGTGACTCTGACCACTTTTCTTGGAATTACCAAGTCAGGTCCAGAATCCAAGAAGCTGCTACACAGCTATTGCTGTTTCCCAGTTTAATTATAGCATTGTGTGAAAAGACTCACTGCAGCTTTTGTGAACAGCTACTCCTAAACACTACGGATAGGGAAGAAGGCATATAATCATCACCATCATCATCATTATTATTTCCCATTAGACATTTGCAGCTGAATATATTTTTAAAAGAGCCATTTGAAAGGAAAAATTGTAACCCTTGCTGCGTTTTCCCTCAGAAATGATGCTATACCAAATAGCAAACTCACAGCTAAAGATGACAAATTCAATGTGATTTTGTTTGCATTTCTAAGTCAAGAGAAGAACTAGTAAAGACCCAGGATCATTTGAAAATAGCCTGTTGGGTAGGTAGAGGTATAAAGAAAGGCAGGAGGAGGGGACCCCTTTTGAAAAGTTTTACTTATGGACCCTGGAATTGCATTTTGTGTCTGTGATTCAAGGATTTACCCTTGTTTTGAGTATTCTCTTGTTTGCCCAGCTATGTTGACCTCAGGTTCGGTAGCTCTTTACTCACTGTGATTCTTTCTAAGCTATTGTTGGGCTATGGCTATCACCAAATCACATGGAAAATCAGAGATGGAACACACTTTAGAAGTTAGCTTCTCTATCCTTCTCATTTACAATTGTAGAAACTGAGGCCCAGAGAGAAGTGACTTGCCCAAGGTCCTATATCTAGTAAACAGAAGAAAGAGAACTTGAAACTAAGTTTGATTCTAAGTCCAAAAGAAGAAAATACTGCCTCCTGCTCCTACCACCACTCCCAAACAAGCCTGCCAATTTATTTAAGTTAGGGGTACTTTTATTCCTTTACCTTAATGCTTTTAAAAAACCCACTTATTACAGGGCTTGTCACTCAAATGGTATAAAAATAGTTGATTTGGGTAAAATGATGGTCAACCAGTCTTTTGGGTCAAGATGACTTTTCATTAGACAATATAGTTAGGACCACAAGCAATACTTTTTAATTGCTTATCCCATTATAGGTTATAGCAGCATGAGTCTATCCTAATCCACTCTGACTAGTTCTAGAACTGTGAAAAAAAAGTTCAAATCATTCTTAGATATTATACCTCTCAATTAGATATTTCATCCCCAAATAATACCTTCACTTGACTCTATCATTGCTTGCCATGGTGCGAATATAGATAAAATAAACATCAATTCAGTGATTTCATAATCATGGTTTCCATTTCTTTCAAAATAATTGGACTACTGTTTTATTCTACCAAATCCGCAACATCCTGGTTGGTCATTTGTGAACCCTTATGACCCAGTGTATTATTCAAATACTTTATGTGCTTTTTTTGTTATTCTTGATATGAGTTATCCAAAATTCCTCTTAGGCATCATGGAAATTTGGATAAGTAGGCATTTTTTATTTTTATTTTTATTTTCATAATAACCTATTTTGAGTATATAGATAATCCTATAGTTCTCTCCCTATGTAGTAACTAAAATAAGAAAAACTTTGGATTATGCAAGTCATGTCTAACATTAACTGAAGAAAGGAAAAGCTATTTTGCCCATTTAAAGTTGGACTTATGTGAGTCACATTCTTATAGATCTTTCTTAATCGTTTTTTTTTTTAAATTTCAGATTGGGCTTCCCTATGATGCTTGTCTCTTGCACAATTGGGATGTGTTATCTGCTTGTCGCGCATGTTGTACTTGGCTGGAATTCCTAAGTCATTTGTCTTTTGAAGACCAGTAGGAATCTGATCAACTGACCAACATCAATTATATGACCATGCTGAGAAAACTATTTGGAGAAAAAAAAGGGACTTTACAGAGATACATAATGAGTCCATACAATGACTGGCAGGTTCCATGGTGCTTTTGATGTCTTTCTATTCTGTAACCCTTTAGGCAAAGTTTGAGTGTAAACAATTGATGGCCAAATAGCACCTGGTTTTGTTTTTGTGCAAATACATGAAGTGAATTGACTTGTATTTTTTCAGAGCCAACACTGCAAGGGAATATGTATATGCCTTAAATCATGTTTCTGAGATCTATGCTTAAAGCCATGAACAGAAAAACAAAAACAAAAACAAAATTCAAATTGCTTACCTTTACTTTGTCAAGTATTTGCTCTTGAAGTCTTGTTTGTCCTTATGTATTCACCTTTTCATTTTAAAATATCTAATATTCAAAGTATATACTATAATGGTAAGTTTTCTTTCCTAAGAAGAGACATAAAAGTTAGAGAGTAATGTTATGTATGTTGCACAAATAAATGATTCCCCTTTCCCAAAAAGACATGCTGGGGTTGATTTCTTAGTTCTTGACTAGTTGGTGCATTAGATGATGACAATTTATGCTTTACTTGTCCCTATTTTTTTTGTTTTGTTTTTCTTTCTGGAGGAAATTTTAAGTTAACTGATTATTTTCCTGGAAGCTGAAAGACTGGAGACTATGTCTTGCAGGTCATAATCATGTTCTTTTTTTAAAAATAATTTACATGTTTTAATAAACCAAAGTAATGATTTTCACGAGAATTTGGTGTTTTGTTTGCTTGATAAAATAAATGATGAGCTGGGTCAATATCCTCAACTTTGAACTTCTTATCTCAGCCTGCAGTAAGATAATAATCAGTGTCTATTGTCTACCTGGTGTGCAGAAAGCCTGGACTGGGTACTGGAATCCTTGTTAAGAGGAGGCAGAAGTCTTTTTTGTCCATTACAAAGAGAAACTATCATTTGTTTTTCTTTAGTTGTTCCATAATTAGACCTAACATCAGTTTCTTCCTTTATTTTTCAGTCAATTACAAATAATGCTTTAAAATAAAGGGGGGGAAAGCTTATCTTTCATTACACTTACAAGCCATACATAATATTGACTCCTACAATTCTAAATGTCCCTTGAGCACTAAGAATTGAAAAGCAGGAGACTGTAAATATCTTCCTGATAATCCCAGGTGAGGGTGACCTTTCCAGACCTTGTAATCTTCACTTGTAAAATAAAATCTATGATACTATCTTTGTAAAATAGCATCTACTCAGTTTCTGGAGAGTAAAATAATTATCAAAGCCTTTTGTGTAACATTTGCCAAAACACCTCTGGAGAATATTATGCTTAACTTTGGTTAATGCATCATGGCAGTAGGAGTATCCACTTTGGTCAAATCCTTTTGTGGAAACATTTCTTTAGTTTTATAAAGAAACAAATATAGTGCTGTATCCCAAAGAGATCATAAAAATGGGAAAAGGACCCACACGTACAAAAGTATTTATAGCAGCTCTTTTTATGGTGGCAAAGAATTGGAAATTGAGGGAATGCCCATCAATTGGGGAAATAGCTGAACAAGTTGTGGTATATGAATGTAATGGAATACTATTGTGCTATAAGAAATGATGAGCTTCAGAAAAACCTGGAAAGACTTGTATGGACTGATACTGAGTGAAGTGAGCAGAACCAGGAGAACAATGTACACAGTAACAGCCATGTTGTGTGATGACCAGCGTTGAAAGACTTAGCCCTTCTGAGTAAAGCAAGGATCTAAGACATCTCCAAAGGTCTCATGATGGAAAATGCTATCCACATCCAAAGAAAGAACTATGGAGTTTGAAAGCAGATGGAAGAAGTCTATTTGCTATTTTTTTCTTCTATTTTCTCTTTCTGGTTCCTCCTATTGGTTCTAATTCTTCCTTACAACATGACTAATGTGAAAATATATTTAATAGGAATGTATATGTATAGCCTACATCAGATTGTGTGCTGTCTTGGGGAGGGAGGTGGGAAAGGAGGGGGAGAAAAATTAAAAACTCAAAAAGATTATAAAAGTGATTGTTGATAAATTAAAATAAATTAATTTTAAAAAAAGAAAGAGATATAGTTTCTATGATCTATTATCTCAGCCAGGTTGTTTAATAACTTTATGGACTTGAACAAGATTTTAAGGATGAGAAGGGCATTCCAAGTGGGAGGGATAGTATGCAAATAGGTACCAGGAAGTCATACACATGAAAGGTGTAGAGAAATGTGACAATAACATCTCATATTTACAGAAGACTTTGTGGAATTTACCTAATTTATCTAAGCAACCTTGTCAGGCAAACGGTAAAAGCATTTTTATCCTCATTATACATATAAGGAAACTAAGGCTCAGAAAGGCTAAAAATTCTTTCCATGACTTCAGTCCAGTGCTTGTGTTCCAATATTGTGCCGTGTCCCAAATGAGGGTATTTTTTCATTTAATCAGTTTAGGGGATATTTGATATGGAGGCTGAAAATCTGATGGGAAGTTGTATTTTATTTAAGATAAAAAAATGTCCTATCAGACTTTGAAAGGGAAGTATGGTTGAAACAACTTATTTGCTTTTGTTTTGTTGAACAGAATTGCTTCATTCACTAAAGTTCTCTGATTTCATGGTAAGGAGGTGAACCTAGGTTTTTAAAGATTTTATCCATGGACAGAAATGTCCTGTGGGTCTAGCAAGTGGCAAAGGCTTCAAATATAGAACTTCCAAGAAAGTGTGCTTCTATCATCTAAGGATTACCCTAGCTAATTTTAGAGAGGCTCATCAGCAGAAGATGTGGACACCAGGAAATGAACTCTTTTAGCCACGGAAACTTATCAAAATCATCTATTAGTAAAATAAAAGTAGTCCAAGAAAGTTATGAAAAGAAAATTAACCAATTGGAAAAGATACAAAATCTTAAGGAAGAAAACTAGAATTGGGCAAGTGGAATTGAATGACATTATACGACACCAAGATATGATAAAACTTGAAAAACAAGAAAAGAATCTGAAACATCTCACTGGAAAAACAACTGATCTGGAGAAACGAGTGAGGAGAGACAATATAAAAATTTCCAGACTACCTGAAAGTTATGATCAAAAAAGAATCTAGAATAAGGCAAATTACACTGAAGTTCCAGAAAAAGAAAGTAAATTATAAATAGAAAAGAAATCCACAAATCATTACCTAAAAGAGCTCCTGGGAAGAAACTTACAGGAATGTCATAGCCAAGTTTCAAAGTTCCCAAGTTAAAGAGAAAATATTGCAAGCAACATGAAAAAAAAAAACCAAAACAATTTAAATACTGTTGAAAAACAGCCAGGATTTCACAAGACCTAGCAGCTTCTACACTAAAAAACTGTCGGTCTTGGAACATTGTATTTCAAAGAGCAAAGGAGCTGGAGTTGCATCCAACAATAACTTATCCAGCAAAGTTGAATATAATCCTAAATGAAAAAAAAATGGACATCTAATGAACTGAAAGATTTTCAGGTATTTCTAATAAAAAGACCAGAAATCAATGGAAAATTCAATATAAAAGACCCAGAAGAAATATAAGGAAAGCTTTAAGACTAATTATAAGGCACTAAGGTCAAACTGTTGACTTATGATATATGAAAATGTTATTAATGTGAGTAATTATTGGGTATTATTAGTAGTAACAGTTTCTTAAAACTGTTATTATTAAGGTAGTTTGAAAGAAAGGTTGAGGCTGAGTTGTGTATGACAAGGTGATTCTAAAAAACAATATTGGGTAAGAAAAGTTTAAAAGGAGAAATTATCTATAAAAATGGGGCTGAAAAAGAACTAATACAGAGGAAGCAGGTAGGCATGGAGGGCTGGTAATTTTAGAACTTAAATCTCATCTGGGTTGAAAAGAAAACAATGTATACATCTGAAGAGGTTTAGAAGTCTTCTGAACTTCTAGACAGGTGAAAAAACTGAGGGATACAATGGGGGGGACCTTTTAGAAAGGTATTAAGATTAAGATTAGGAGGGTGAGGTGAATATATAAGGGAGGGACTTTTAGAGGGGTGGCTAAAATAAGAAATAAGAGGGTAAGGGGAGAAGATAAAGTAACAGGAATATGTAAAAAGAGAGGCTGAAAAGGAAAATAGTGAGTAAAAATAAGATGGAGGGAGATTCACAAATAGAAATTATAATTTCAAATGTGAATGGGATGAATTCACCCATAAAGCAGAAATAGCAGAATGTATTAAAAATCAGAATCCAACAATATATTGTTTACAAAAAACACATTTAAAGATGACAGATACAGAGTTAAAATGGGAGGCTGGAGTAGAATTTATTATGCTTCAGCTCATGCAAAAAAGGCAGAGGTAGCAATTATTGATCATAGACAAAGTTATGGCTAAAATAGATTTAATTAAAAGAGATAAACAGAGTAACTACATTTTGATAAAAAGTACCACAGATAATGAAGCAATATCAATATATGCACTGAATACTATAGGATCTAAATCTTTAAAAGAAAAGTTAAATGAATTACAGGTGAAGATACATAGTAGTACTAAAACTGTAGGAGATTTTAATCTTTCCCTCTCAGAACTAGATAAATCTAACCAAAAAATAAGAAAGAAGTAAAGGAAGTTAATATAATTTTAGATAAACTAGATATGATAGATATCTGGAGAAAACTGAATGGAAATAGAAAGGAATACATTTTTTTCTCAGCATTTCATGCTACCTTTACAAAGATCGACCATATATTAGCACATAAAAATATTATAGTTAAAAGCATAAAACATAAATAGTAAAAGCATCCTTTTCAGATTATAATGGACAAAATATATTTAATAAGGGATCAAGGAAACATAAATTAAAAAAAAACTAATTGGAAATTGAACAACCTAATGTTAAAAAATGAGTAGGTTAAAGAACAAATCATAGAAACAATTAATAATTTCATTAAAGAGAATGATAAG